CTATTTTGCTCAATTTTTACGGGTTGGTCCACTAGGGGTTCTAATATTACATGGCGAGCTTCGTTTTTCGATTTCTGCCTTGGTTTTTTCGATATATAACATTTTTCTTCGTTATCGCGTTGCCATTGTACATCGCTTCTCATTCGTATAGATTTTATGGAAGAACCCTTTGTCAACGTTTTACAACAGCTTTCCGCAATCCGCAATATAATATTTTTTGTTATCGCGTTGCCATTGTCCATCGCTGCTCATTTATGGAAATTCTATGGGAGAACCTTTGTCAACGTTTTTCAACAGGCTTTCGCAATTAGTTCAGAAGTTTTATAGGGCTCATTCATATCTTTTCAGAAAGTTTTCAAAACATTTTTCTGTCTCTCTCTTCAGCAGCGATATCTATGCTCCGACGCCAGTTGAAAAGTACGGAGGGGTGGCAAGGGTAATCAAATAAAGACTCATAAGAAAAATTCTGCACGAAAACTCTTTTCTTTTGCGAAAAGCTTGGCCGCATTTTCGAGCATCCCCACATGTAACCAATATTAAACGAGCCCCACAAGGGCTAAAAGAAATGTAGTGATAAAAAACTTAATCATTGAAATCAGAAAAAACAGTAGAGCTTGAGGGGGTAACCCGTGAAAATACAAAAACGAGAACAGCGAATAGACCGGGGCTCGCAAAATGTATTTAAGCAAGTTTCAAACTTGCCTCGATATTGCAACCGTAATACATTAAATCTGTATGCACATTTCAGTGAACGGGAGACTAGCTCCCCTAAGAGCCCCGCTACGCGCGCACGCGATAGCCGCGGCAAGATTTACAAATACCGTAAATCCGCGAAATAACCCTACTCGAGTAAGCCCCCACCCTAGAACTAAAAATTTCAATAAGCCCCCACTGCTACCGTTAATTCTAGAATTGGACCGACCCCCTTATTTTGATGAATTTTTGCCATCTGAGGTTTCCTTTGGCATTTTCTTGAATTGCCACAAAAACTCATACTTTTGGTAATAATTAATTAAAAGCTCATAAAGAAATTCCTACTAAAATAAACGAGATCTTTTAATAATTTCTTTTTAATGTCTACAATAATTTTATAAGCCCCTCCCCTCGTATAAGCCCCTTCCCTCGAATAAGCCCCCATCCAAAAATATCAAAAATAAATAAGCCCCCAGGGGGCTAATTCGAGGGGGGCTTATGCAAGGGGGGCTTACTTAGGTGGTAAACCATTAAAATATTTAAACGAAGAACACGAATAGACCTGGGCTTGCAAATGTTTTGAAGCAACTTTCAATTAACGGAAGACTAGCTCCCCTACGAAGCCCGCTACGCGGGCTTGCCAGTGGCCCTACGGCAGGGTACATAGATTAGCCTCGGAAAAGACAAGAGGTGTATTAACCTCCATTTGAAAACAATTGGCTCCGCACAGGTCACGTGATCAAAAAAATTGCTTGCACTCTTGTGCGCATTAAATTCGCACTCCTGTGACTATCGCTAGGAAGGGGGGAGCCTCTACCCCCTTTCTATTTAAGGCTCCCCCCTTCCTAGCGATAGTCACAGGAGTGCGAATTTAATGCGCACAAGAGTGCAAGCAATTTTTTTGATCACGTGACCTGTGCGGAGCCAATTGTTTTCAAATCGAGGTTAATACACCTCTTGTCTTTTCCGAGGCTAATCTATGTACCCTGCCGTAGGGCCACTGGCAAGCCCGCGTAGCGGGCTTCGTAGGGGAGCTAGTCCTTACTAGTATCCGAGACTCATCTCGTCTCCAATAAGAGGTTCATACATTTCATTTCTTGCTTTTTTGGTCTACGGAAGATTTGGTCTACCGTCATTCATTTGTAAAGAAGGATAAATGAAAAACTAAAGCTTACCTTTTCGGCTCTACCTTCCGTGCTTTTGTCAACATATGCGGTATTCAAGGCCTGTTTGATACATACGTAGATAACTTTGACAAGGAAAGGGAAAACAGAGCTCGTTTTCGTAAAAAAAGTTGTACAGTTTTGTCTGTGACGGCAAAAGTCCACAAATGATGAAAGGAGATTTTTATCAAGACAGTAACCTGCAAATTATCCTCAAGGATATGTTTTGTGACTTAAGGCAACAATAAAGAAAGGTTCTTTTATCAAGCAGAATTTGTATCTGACCTTTATATCGTAAACAGGGGAGTCTCCAAAATGGAGCGCCAGGTTCTTTATAAGAAATGCTTCCTTGCTCGTGATGTATTCTTGAAGTCTTGTACAATGCCTGCCAAAATGACTTTGATCCTTTTCCCCCAAAATAAGACATATATCATGCAAATTACAAGAAAAAATGACTTGCTGGCTATCTCCTCCTTTGTATAATATACTTAAGCATCATTGTTTTCAAGTCGAGATGGCGGATTGCCTTTGAAAATTGACATTACTGTTTCAAAAATTTTGGCAGGGTTGTAAGTTATTGTTAGAAAAAATGACTTTTGATGTTGTTTTATATATTTTAACGTTAGGTTGATCGGAAGTTAGCAGATCTTGACCTGTCCCGAAACACCAAGGATTTGATAAAAAGTTTTAAAAGGCTTGGGAAGGATTTACTTACTGTCACAAACCTGACAAGTGATATTGAAGATATGAGTGACCCTGAAAGATCGCGAAACCTCGAGGCAGCATGTGACACGCTGCGGAGGACAGGTGTCACTTTGGAGGCCGCTCCAAAAAAATATGGACAGGAAGAGCCAGTCCTTAGAGATATCAGGAACGATTTTTACGGCGTATTGCAACAGGTTCGTTCACTTTCTTGCAAGTTTATTACAAAATGTAATAGATTCACAGAATTTTCATATTTTCAAATCGATAGCAAAGGTCATTTCAAGAGAGATTGATCGTTTTGAATATGCATGTATTTTGAATGAGCGGCAAGCGGTGATTCCTAAGACATATTAAGAGGGCCTGTTAAAGGGTGTTCAAAAGAGGCAAAACCGTGTAAAAAGCAGCGAAGACCCACGATCTGCAAGTGCGTAAAATCAATTTACACCGAAAGATGCAAGACACATCTTTCGAGAGAACCCATTGCCAAATCCATGGGCCGCGCGCAGAAATAGATTCGTGACTGTGAACCTATAACGGGCCCTCTATTTAGATAATTCAATATGCATGTATTTATCTTTTCCCCAATAAAAATGATCAGGACTTGTGATGTTAAAAATATAGAAAAGATACCATACAAGCCTTATACATAGATGAAAACGTTTTGCTACGTTCAAGAGTACCCCTGATTTCAGTGGCATATTTGTCCCCTTAAGAAGTGCCATATTGGAAAAATATAAATTTTCAAGTGCTTTAGAGTAAGATATGGTTAAGAGAAGCCGAATCAGGGGTTTTAGAAAGGGAGAGGTGTCATTTAATTGTAGGTCACATATATGTTTATCGTCCCCTCTTTATATAATTTGTAAAAACATTTACTTTGATCGCCGTCATTTCATCAGTGCTAATTCTAAACACTGCTTCACTCTCTCTCTCTCTCTCTAGGTAATTGGTGCAACTGACGTTATCTCAAATGTCTTACACCCGAACCCAGGCGACGAAGATGACGTCAAAGGGGTCATAAATGATATTATCACTCACTTTATGAAGGCTGGCACCCCCTCATCGCAGCACCAGCCACCCGATGTTGATGTTTTCAGATTTTCAGAGGCTTTATCAAATATTGACGTGAGTATTTTAGGAAAATTATCTTGAAAAGTAGAGAAGGTATAAACAAATTATATTTGTAGCAAAGAGTTTTGTCTAAAGTTGAGAAATTTTAAAAGTAATTTTAAGAAACCATTGCATGGTGCTTCAATTAGATTGACCTGGAGAAGATATAATGTGTTTGTAATTTTTGAAGAAAGAGTATGCTTTGCTTTGTTACTATATAATGTAGAGGCATTGATATTGTATTTAAATGCCAGAAAACCACCGAAAGTACAATGCATTCTTTTCCCCTTTCTTGCCCCTTTTTCTTTTAACATTTCCTCTAGTTTAACTTATCTTACGTTTTTAATGACATCTATCTTGGATATCGAAGTTTTCAGAGAAATGATTTTTTCATTTGTGGCTTATTAGGAAAAACCATTGCTCGTGTAGATCAGAGGTGGTTCCAGGAGGTTTGCTTTCGCTCTGACGACTACTCAAAGTAATAGGCACAACTAGACCTATTATAGTTTAGACTTTCTCTAAAACCCTTGTCACTTCGAGTAGTCAACGAATTGAGAGTGAAGACAAAAAGCGAGCGACTCGTGTTGAGGTTAATCACTGACTGAATTACTATACAAAAGGCTAACTGTTATATACAAACGAAAGCGAGGTTAGCATAATAATTACGTATGATAATGAACGACATTAATTCCTGCTATACGCCAACTGATATAAGAATGACAAGCCTTTCTGGTGAAGAATTTCCTGCGGCAAAGTTTGGCGGCAAAACATGATGTGGCCTCTGTTTCAATTTTTTAGGAAAAAATTGACGTTTGTTCCTGTGTCTATTCGGACATGGCCATTCGTACTGAAGTGCAAAGAGCCTTGAACAAAGTAATCAAGGAGGCTGCGGTTGTCGCTGATTTGAGTGGGGTGAAGGAGAAGACAAGGTCAACATTGTTGCAGTCATGCTTCAAGACTACAGATACAGTGAAGAATTCGATCGCAAAGAATACTGATGCGGTGTGTGGATTCTCTTTCCCTTTAAGTTCATTAGAGTGTCTCAATATTATTTGTTTTGCAGCATACCGGCATGCCTTGAATGCAAAGCTGGTAAATTGCAAGAATTAAGAGCACTCCATTCCAATCACGTTAGATTTGATAAAGACATCTTTGGCAACAGGAAACGGATAGTCTGTTGGAAAGTCAATCTTAAGATGAATATCAAGATCATCAGTACCCTACTCAGTATTCAATGCTCGATATTTGAGCTGACAATTTGTTAAAAAGGGGCGTATGATCAGGAGATTTGCTTGAATGTTTCCTCATTTAATGATAGAGGACGAACCAAACATTTTGTTTCTCCAATTAAGTGAATTTGTTGTTGTCAACAAAGTTTTATCATAGCTAATAACAATTAGCTATTTTCATGGGCTCCGACACAGGTTGGAAAGTGGGAGCAAAAGAAAATTCAACACCCATAACAAAGACTTCGAAAAAAGCTCTATTGTTTTGCAAAAGTCGTCAGAGCCCTCGAATTAGCACTGAAAGAACTTTGTCGTTGCACTTAAATCAAGTAAGTTATTGACTTCAAGGATCCCGTCGCTGAGTTCTTCAAGAACTATCTAAATCACCGTATATGTAACCATAGTCTGAGTTTGGCAACCCAAGTGAATTGGATGATGCCATGGGGAGGGATTAGGCTGCTTGGATATAGAGAGCACCGAGGCTTAGTACCAAACCTCGAAATGTATTGTGGCCGCTACTGGTCAGTTGGATTCATTGAGATTTACAAAGATCTATTCAGTTTTTTTCAGATTCATTCAGATTCATTAAGATTCAGATTCATTCAGTACATCGATAGAGGCTACTTACATATTTTTTCCTTTCCTTCTCTATTTTCTATGAGCCTCTCTTTAAGAAGCAGCAGTGAGAATATATTTTTAAATGTTTGTCGACATCATTTTCTTAGGATAGCGATATTCTTGATGAAAATGAGCTGCAGCGTCAGACAATCGTAGGCATGGCTCGAGAAGCGACAAAAGACTTACGAAAGAGTGTTCTCAATTCGCTTCTTGACCACATTGCATCCAAGTACAAAGGAATGGAAAAGTTTTTGAGCCCCGGTGCTATTTTGAACAAAGAGGAGTACTACTCACTTCATGAGTATGTGGAATACATGAAAGAGGTAGCCAGACTGACAACATCTCTATCAGAAGACGAGGGAATGAAGAAAAACATTGACGGGGCAGTGAAGAGACTTAGCTACATACGTAGAGAGGTACTGTTTTCATTTGTGTACCGTTTTTTCTATTTCTATTATAAACTGCTCTTGCAAATCTTGGTAAAACATTCAGTGCCTGTCGAAGGCAAACCTATTGCAAGTTGAAATATACAGAAATTAATATATAGCATATAGGAACCTCTGCCCGATGACCTCATGAAGCCTGAAACTCAGAGTATCAACATCGAACCGTTCTGTTCTATACATCAAAAACGTGTGCAACTCTTCCTATACGGTATCGAGCGCTTTATGACAGACCGGTAAACAGTAATGTTTAGTAGCATACAAAAATACTAAAATACCAATATGTGCAAGGGGAGATATGCAAAGTGCTTTTAAAGCAGGGGTCGGCAACCTTTTTAAACAAGGGGGCCAAATTTGACTTCAGAAATGCATACGAGAGCCGCAACTCAAAATAAAGTATAATTTTTTACATATACCAATTCTACCTAACTACTAATCTAATCAATAAAATTGTATTTATCGGTAAATGTACTGTAACGTGGAAGCTGTACGTATATACAAAGATAGATGTAAAGTACATGTTCAGTATGTTACAAGAAGGTAATGCGCAACTTGATGCTGCATGTCCTTGGCCAACTTCTCAATATTTGGCAGAATTGTTTATGTTGACAGCCGCAAGGTGCCTTCAAGGTGCTGATAATCATTCGGGATTACAGTCGACTTTTCGCTTACTTCATCTTTGAGAATAGACTTTCGCAAAGATTATTTTCGTCTTCTTGAAATATGGTATCAATCGCGATCAAGCCAACTAGCTTTAGTTGATAGTAGTTCTGAGCACATAACCGAATGAAATTTTAATAACTGAATGAAAATTTTGTTTGTAAGAGAAGTTCTGTTTAATGAAAGGTACCTTGGAATACTTACTTATAACGCGAAAAAATATCAATTATTTATATGAAAATAAACAGTTTTCAGAATTCTACATCTTGATTGTTATCAGCATGGATAATGTCTTTGAAGACGTTTCTAATTAATGCCGTTTTCTTATCAGATGTGACTTGATGAAACTGTTTATCATCGTGTAGTATCATCCACTGGTACATTAAGCAAATTGTCTGCTGCATTGAAGAGTTTTATTGAATAATTCTCTCGTGAATCTTTTAGGTCGTAGCAACATCTGAAGTTCTGGTAAACTCGAAAAGGAAGTTGACAAGTTGCAAAGCCTCTTGGAGATCAAATGTCAACACCCTTGAGAAGGCAATGAAAAGTGTCAGTAACAGTACCTTAGGCAATAAAAGTCATTTGCTTCGGGTGCCGGATAAATCAACTGATACAAAGCAATCGCAGGATTTTTGTAACTATGGAGTCAATGGACCAGGTGCGTTTGTATGTAAGAGACATAGTTATTATAGACGCTTATTAATTGTATTGTATTCTTTAATGAATTAACCTCGTTTTCGCTTTGTTTTGTAACAAAAAGAGGCTGCTTCGTGCTTCGTGTTCCATTTAGTAAAATCGGAAGCTTTTTAATTGTGTTCCCTCGTTCTCCACGAAGAACCCGAAGATGAAGTATTTGCAGTCTGTAGACAGCTGGTTGAGCAAACTTTGTGGCCGAAGTTTTCTCTTCTGTATTATTGAAGATCACTCACCACAAAATCGGCTCAACACGAAAGATATTGCTTTTCAATAATGCAGCAAAAACACTGGCATTGTTTGCCTTCAATAAACCACATGATTGAACAGATTTTTCTATCATTTTTAGATCGTTGATGTAGCCTATGATTTCCCCTCGTGACGTCAAGTGTAAGAAAACAATGTTTGAACTGTTCAAAGCTTGTACATGACCTGCATCCGGATGCTCCGGTAGCATAGAGAACTTTTCTAGATTTTTGGAATACGACTTATAAGGCTGCGTATACACGGGGCCAGCCGAATATTTGTTCGGTCAAATATTTGGTCACTTAGGCTTTGCATTTTCACGGGGCCGACTAAACGACCTCAAATTAGGTCGCTTAGGCGTGCAAATTTTAAGGCACCTAGGAAAGTGTCCTTCTTGACACTTGGCCGGTTCAGTTCGCGAGTGGCCTCGTGTAAACGGCTTCGTGTAAATGTATCGTTGTTGGGTAAGGTCATTGGTTAGATTTTTCGTTTGTAGCTTTTGCTTATTGTTTGTTTTGCTGAAAATATGGACGATATATGGACCATATTTTTGGCCGGCCCCGTGTAAACACAGCCTTAATTCTCTGTTGTTATTATAAGCAATGAATTTAAGCGCAAATATCTCACTGTTTCCTTCGAATCTAATTTGCCGCCTCAAGAGACTTATTATGATAAAAACTATATTGATGATTTTTTCTGATCTTCAAGATGACAGCTATTGGTGGGACAGTACAACGGATTCATTTGCACCCAGATCGCGCTCCTCGTCAAGTGAAGACTTTCCTCAGAGTGGCTCTGATGTTATCCCTATCTCCGATGAAAGCAGTGTGTATTCTGATAACATTGGGAATGTCCTCGAGCGCATTACTGAACAATATTGCACGAGAGCAACGCGCACGTACACGCCACAGCCACAAAAACAGGCAAACGGGCTGAATCCCTCTGAGACATTCACTCCGCAGCCAATTCGAAGAGCATGCTCCCAGTTGGCTGAACCATATTCTCCTCACCCCAGACGGAGGTTTCGATCATTCAATTCCGGGAAGAAATACCTCGGACACGATTTTGAAGATTTGCAGCTAGCAGTCTCAGATATGCAAGTGAACATTGCTCCAAAACTCGCCAATTTCCTCTCAAGTACCAGCAAAGGAAAACATTCAAAATGCAGCGATGAGAACCACACTGTCATAGTTGACTCATTAAGACTCGTATATAGAGGAATTCAAACGATTTGCAGTGCCTTACTGGATAAGGACCAGTTCAAACAGCCCGATTTTGAATTTAAAGAGGCTAAAATCCCTGTTGAAAATGGTGCCAATGGAAGGTCGGAATCATTTAGCTCAAAATCCCCCGATGATGAATATTTTGATAGAGATGTTATGGAAATAGCCCGTCTTGGAGGAATAGGCGGACGCCTTTGGGGCACACACAGTGCCATGGAAATACGAGGTAATCATGTATCAAAAGGCAAAGAAACCAGCCTATGAAAACCTATGAATTAGATCAGCTTGATGCTTGGTTATACTGAAAGTCACCTTTTGAACATTTATCACTTCAAAGCTCGTATACAAAATTGGTTTCCTACTTGGGGTTCAACCAACTGACTAAAAATTCGTTTCCTCCCTGCCTTTTCCTGAATAAAGCTAAACAGAAAAGGACATCTAAAATACAATTCAATTTTCATTCAGTTTAAGCGTCAATTGACGTACGCTCATTTTGATTTAAAACCCAAAAAATCCTCTGCAATTAATATGAAAGTAACGAAAATTTCATCAAGATTCCTTAAAGATCATATAAGCTACAGGCAAATGCGCCGTATGGTATGCAAATAAGAGTTATCTTTAACAGCCATTTCTGCTTAGCTGACCTATGGGGGGGCCATTATCTAAGCCGGGGCCATTATAAGCAATGTTTGTGCAATACTTTGGAAGGCCCCTTCGTTTCAAATGCGTTATCCTAATATACGTATTTCATTCATCGGTACACTTAAATTAGCTGCTTTTTAGATATAATTTTTATTATGTTTCTTCTAGAGAATTTATCCCTTTATTATAAATAGAAAGATGTTTGCTCATATGTTTTGCTTTCAAGAAATAAGAAAGCCCATATTAGATAAAGAGGCAATCTTTTATGCTCTCCTTTTGTATTTTGACCAGTCTGCCGATGTCCTAGATTTAAATGCAAAACGCTTCTCAATAGCTACAATCACAGCCAAAATTACTTGGAACACCGAACACTTTGCGCTGTGCTTTTCTATTTTTCATTTGTTTTCTTGAATACTACCAATTCCGCTCTCCTTTCCCCCCAAAACAATGTTGAAAGTATAGAAAAATATCAAACAATCCACACAAAAAAGCGTACTCCATAACCCCTTTCTTTTTTCTATAGTAAATCAACATTGTTCCTAGGGGGAGAGGGGGGTGGCTGAATTTGCCTTTGAAAACCTACGTTAGTGTTCCAAGACTTTTGGCAGTGATTGTAGAGTCAAGTTAACGACGCACAATGTCACAGGTCATGGGTTCGAGTCCTGTCCTGGTCATATCTCTCACTTGCATTTTCTCTTGGTACATCTTCGCAAATCTTGTTCTCCTGTCACTTATCAACAAGCTAGGAACTTATTTTTATAAGATTATAAACGCATTATTATGTGAGGATGTGAGTAATGAGAGACTGGAACGAGAGTCATTGTTGTTGTGATTAGTGAGCGAGAGAGAAGGGACGGAAGTTGAAGCGGAGATATAGGTTGAATAGGTAGCAGAAGATCGAAGAAGAAGAGAAACTGAATTATCGTTTATATTTGCTTTCCTACTTGCATGCTTCGTCACAATTACTATCAAATACTCGTCCCTGTTTAAGAATATATTCAATATCACTGATAAGATTAGGAAGATTTTTTAGTTCTGATCTGGTATAGGCCAGTCTTGACAAACCATCATCAAAAACCAGTATCAGATTGCTATATCTTAAGTTCCGTATGACAAATAAAATTGCTACATCGAGTTACTTACAGTCAGTATTTTACGAGGTATGTTGCTACAAACTATACTGTTCTATTGAAGCGTAACTACTCTTTGCCTACTTCTCATAAATTTCTTTGATCCTGTTTAAACAAATATACATTGGCTTGAATATATTTTTGGCGGTTGCTGAAACTTGTCAAATGATGCGTTGGGGCACTCAGCGACAAATCTAGTCTGAATTATTTTGACTGTTGACTTTCTTATATACAGCCTTGAAGTTTCTCGTTCTTATTGAAGTTAATTTCCCTGCAAAATTCGAGAGTATCTACTCTCTTGATTTGATAGAGGCACTAAAAAAGGTAGATAATTTTCCATTTTCTCTTTATCTATATTTTGTGATTGAGGTTTAATCTGACATTAACGTCTAACGCAATAGCCTTAGCAAATTGGTTGTTGCACGTTGATGGTACGAATAGCAAATTGGTTGTTGCACGTTGATGGTACGAAAAAATCTCTTCAATTACCTTGTATGAGAGCTAAGCCTCTTTCCACCAATTGCAATTGAAAAGTTTCCTAACACACAGACTTCCGTAAAAACAGAACGATGTATACCTTAGCAAAATAATAAAAAAATTGACAGCAAATTTTTCTTAGTGGAGCAAAATCCTATGAAATATCTGAACAGCGAACTGAGAATTCCTTGTGTTGTTGCAGTTTTAAATTCTAAGTTAGCTCTGGAAATGGACTTTATGAGAGTCAAAATAGAAATCGCCTCTTCAACTTGATAACTTTGATTGGCAACCTGTGCACAGCTGAAAAGTTACGATTCCATAATCACAAAAAGGGAACATACATCTAGATTTAGGCCCATATTCGCTAACAAAAGAGATTGGTTTTATTAATTTAGAATTAAACGCGGAAATCATCCAAAGATGTCACCGCGGAAATCACCCAAAGTGAGATTTTATACCTCTTTCCTATTTCTGATCCCACTTCCTACAATATCTGAACAGGTTTTCTTCGCAAAAGGCAAAGACAAGAATAAACTAGGTTCCTCACTATGCGAGAAGCTCGTTTATGAATATCGGAAGCCAGAAAGTTCGATGGTCTTAAGATAATCTATTTTTACTGAATCATAACAATAGTATTTCTATCGCCTATCGTTGCTTGATAAATTTGTGTACTTTTACTAAAGGCTTTACGACAATTTAAATTATAAAAAAACTATTCCTGATACATCAGCCATTGAAAACAAGTCATTCGATTTTTAGACTGTCCAAAACACAAAAAAGGATTACGAATAAGAATAAACACAAAACACATAATATTCTTATTCTGTGTTCCAAAACATTACTAGGTAAATTAAATATAAACTTTCTTATTGTTTGAGAGCAGATTCAGCCCTTTCGTTTCTTTTTGTAACTTTAAAATATTTTTTTTGTAACATCAGCCTTCAATAACAAATCTACTTGCCTGCGTGCAGACACTAGCCATTACGAAGGAGGGTTAGAGTCTGGATGCAAGTTGGCTAATGATTTATTACTGTAAAACATGTTTACAAATACACATTCTGAAGAATTACTACAAATGTTTGCTATCTACCAAACCCCCAAAAATTTCTGTAGCAAATATTCAATATCTGGTCAAGATGACAATTCTTCTAAAAATATTACACAAACAATTCTGTCGAATATCATCAATCAGTTTGATAAATTATGAAAAATTATCCACACGGTTAGATTGAATGCCTGTTCAGTAAAGACAAATCGCAAGATTCATATGTAGATAAATGAAAAAACATTAATATTCTAAAATTTCTTTCGATTTACTGTTTGAGTTCCGCGAGGAAGTGGTTAACCATAAAATTAGGATATGTGGAGAAAATCCACAAAATTGACATCACAACTTTTTAGACATAGAAAATACAAAAAACATTACTCCGTTACTCGAAAAATTACCTACTTTGTCTGGTAGACCTAGCCAGTTTGTCTGGAAGACTTCCATTTACAATTTGCTAGAAAATGCCTACAAAATATGTTGTACCCCAGCCCCTTATCGAAAGAAATTAGCAAAATTCTTTGTACCAAATTTGTTGATTTCTTTGTACCGCCTTATTTGTACCAGATAGGCTTAGGTAGTTTTTAACAGGGAATCTATCAGTAATGCTAAGTACTAACTAACATCATACTCTTAATTGGTTATTTTCTAATAACGGTCTATTTTCTTCCGTTTGAACCCTGGGATAGGAACTCGTTAGTTGACCACTCTCTTGATCTATGCAAATTTTGCATTTGCAATTTTCAGCGCACACGTCTAGCTCGCGCTCTTTTGGGCTAGCCTCGGTATCATCATTAAGAGCCCCACATCCAAGCAAAGAGGCATGGGTTCCCAAGATGCTAGAGTTATCAGCTCTATCATGGATTGAATTTGGGTCCCCATTCACGTTGTGTTTCGGGGAACAATCTTTTATACTGCCATAGGCACTGTTGCTTTCATTCTTACACTTTGGTTTCTCTACAAAAATCAAGTCAAATGCAAAAATCAATATTAGAATAAAGTTGATATGAAAAAAACCAACAAAATACTAAGACTGTTATTATCGAAATCTTTTAAAACACTAAACAAAGCCAAACAGGTTGATGATTTTCTAAGAAAAGCTTTCAGGGTAATTAGAATATATTTCAAAAGTAACTCACTGCTTCTCGTTGAACCAATTTTGGACTTAGCGAGAGTTGCGAGAATCAGCATAGCACAAAAGGCAGCGCCACCGGGCAAACAAGACATTACAACGCGATAATAATGGGCACAGGTTGGGCATCTCGTCTCTCTGCAAAGGAAAATTGGATAGAACGAGCATTTCAAATGAATAGGATTTTCTAGAAGCATATTCGGGGCTTCGGGGCTTCGGGGCTTTGGGGCTGGGAGGCTTTGGCTTCAGGCGTGGTATGGAACACGAAGATTTATTAAGAGGATAGCTTGAATCTTAAACAATTTTTCTCCCTCCAATTGCTAAATAAAGATATCGTCTATTCTCTCAAAGAACAATTTTTTGATTGTCAAGAATCATCAACAATAATTACCAGCTACAACTTAAGTGCCATTCATACCGGATTGCTACCGGACCGGAGAGACTTTCAGATTTGGTAGGGGACAGGATCCGGTACAGGATGCTCTGATTAGTGGGGCAAAAATGGCGAAAAACACTTCCCGAATCCCTTGGTAGCAGTGCGTCGTCGTATAATCGCGCGAATTTGATATAATCCGCTCCGAAACCTAGCATCTTCTTATTGTTTTCAGCTTCGAAGCAATTCGATCATAGCTGAACTACGTAAATTTCTGGGATTTTGAAATTGGGTTTTAAAGAATTAGATTTCATTCCTTCCCAATCGATCCAATAAACGGAGACACTTTTAAGGGATATACTTTGACATATTACACAGCAGCTCCATGTCGCCATCTGTCCAGCAAAACTCACTGACCGCTCTTGACATTATCGGGGTTGGTTTTCGTCAATTCTTTATTATTGATTGACACTGAAATTTACAACAGCACACACCTCCGCAAAGATCCGCAAATTATAAAATTTGGCGAATTTTACGCAGGATATTTAAGGAATTTTGCGTAGCAGCAAAATTGGCCGGTAGCGTGAACCAGAAATGCAGGTGAATGTATGTATGCGTGTGTGCCATCAAGAGTAAAAGTTACTCCACGATGCTATGCTTCGATAGCAGCTGATATAGGTGTAAAAAGTTTCTAAAATTTATGCCTCGAATCGTGTAATCACAGCTGACCAATCATGGTGTATAACAACTGCATCAAGTTACAATGGGACAAAATCAATGGAACACAAATCAGTGTCACAAAAAGTTGTGTGATGCCTGTTTCCAAACACAGTAAAATATTGGTCAGTGATGAGAAGTCTTATTTGTATATTTGTTTACATACACATGCTCTTTTTTAGAATTGGCCACTGATAAACGTTTATACGGAGACAACTTCAAAATATTTGAAACTTGAAAGTGCTGATCTGTTTCTAGGTTTTTATGGACTTTATCATCATGAACATCTGGTACATGTTTAGGAGTGCCTGCTCTTCTAGCAAAGAATTTTATACTCATATGGATTAAGAATAACAGAATCATCAGCAGGTTATGGCTTTAAAACGATAAGCAATATTTTTAGCATACCCGCCCGGTGTGGCATCAGTGCCAGGGTGAAGCTTCTGTATAGCCATGACAGCGATACCATTAGCAACTTTGTCGAAGAAACTCATTGCACCATAGATGAAGGCACCTGTAGACTAAGGAACAAGGTATAATTTAAAAAGGGGCAGCTAAAGTAAACTGGACCCACAATTTGGTTGTGATATGTATTATATCAAATACCCACTTCTCTATTTTTGAATTATATGTTGCAGACTTTAGCTTTGTTTTATCATCGAAATACCTCTTACTTGAAGGCAACAGGTCCTTAAAAATTGTAAAAAAAATTTGAAGGCTGGGTGGGGTATTGGTTTGTGCTTGCAGGAGCATCAGAAGAAAATGATCCACATCTGGGTATAAACTTTTTATTTACTTGTTATTTTTGTAAACAAAAACAGCTATTTCTGTTTGTAGTTGAGATATCAAAATAGAAAAAAAGTTGACTAACTACACATAAAAAATCTGAACTGTTTATTATATTGGTCATCTATTTATTAAGGACATAGAACTGTTTTCTGGAACGCTAGTATGCAGGTTTAGGTAACAGAAACCAACCTCAAAGTTCACAAACTTGTAATCTCTCCACAGAGGTTTCATAAGAAAGTAACAAGATCAAAGTAAGAAACTATCTTCAAACAACAGACCTAATGAAAAAAATCATTTGCACTTTTCTGAAGATTTAATTCTTTGGAAGCTTGTATGAAAATATTGAACATACTGTGTTATCTCCAACTAATTCTGCAGTCATTGCCAAGGATGTAACAAGAAGGGTTGAGCATCCAAAACCTATCACAACAGCAGCTCCATACATCTCTCCTTGTCTGTCACCAACCGGAAGGCCACCCAAAAACCAAATCCAAATGCTAGAAAAATTAATACATTTCATGGTTTTATGGTTTCAGGGTTAAATTGATAAATTGATACACTTTTTGTGGAAATCAACAAATTGGAGTGCTGGATGGAAACGGTATTAATCTTACTTCTGAGTTAATTTTCCTTTAACTTTATTATGCTCCAGATTGGTTGTTAAACCTTTAAGAGTAGACCATTGAAGATGAAGATTGAAGATGGTTTGTTGATGGTACCAGCCCAAACAAGTAAAAACACTTCTCCCAAAGCAAAAACACTGAAGTTTAAATTTATAACAACTGATTAAAATAAAATGTACTGACCTTGATCCAAAAATTAGAAGAAGTCCAACAAAGTATGTAATCTGAAATGTGAATTTAAGCAACTTCAAATGATTCTTAAACTGAGAGGTTGTGAATTAGACCAACTTTTCAAACAGGTTTATTATCAGGACTACAAGAATGAGAATTTGGCATAAAATTGTTTTGTTGTTTCGTAAAAAAACAACATTATAATCATCCTATTTGGAGAATGACAAACTAGCTATTTGCAAAAAGACCAACAAAGCAAATTAGAAGAAATTGTTGCATTGGGCCAAAAAGATGGCTGCCAGGCAAATAACAATTGGAAAAAAATTAAAGAAAGACTATAAATCCATGCAAGAGTAAAAAGTGAAAATATAAATATGGCAGCCCAATTTGAAGTTTACTAAGCATCTTTTCAAAACAATAGGCTTGTCCCCAATATTTGACCAAGTGTCCACCCCTGCCACAAGGTCTTTGCTACACTTGGAAAAATTTGCACCAGTTTCCAACATCACATCATTTTTGTATTTGTCTATCAGCCTATCATGAGGATCCGTTTGAGTACCTGATTGTAAAAAATGTTTAACAAACCTTTAAACCACAGAAAGAAGCCATTGGTTTGGTAGCAAGAGTTGCACATATCCCACTCACATAAATAACAAGAGGAATAATTGCAATCGTTTTCTGAAAAAAGAAAATTCTATGTTCAGTTGTTGAAATCAAAATTCCACAAAAAAGTATAGCAAAGCAAATTATACAATATCAGAAAGCTCTGTTCTCGGAGAATAAACTGTATGCTGGGTAAAAATTCTAATGCAAACAACTCCTTTATCCCAGCATACTTGTCAATTGATTTTATGGTGTCCACTGGATATATGAAAAATTTACTATCAGGGTTTATTTCCACTCCTCAATAGAAAACAACAATAAGTGCAAAATAAATAGATATCTCTGCTATCAGTCAACCATTTGAGAGGGAACTCATGAAAATGACAGCATTTCAAGATTTCTCAAGGCTCAACTTCAGAAACAGCCAACAAATATATTCCTTTTAGAAATGAAGCCCTTTTGAACATGGGGTTATCATATAGCCATTAGCCTGTATTGTGGTTTAGCATGTAGAAACTTGAGTGTGGGTCAACAATTTTTAAATTATTTAACTTTTTACAAACCTTGTCTAAAAACAATGAATCTGTAACATAAAGAGGAATATAAACTTGTGTCAGGTTCACAATTAGTCTTGTCATCATGTAGATCATCCCAATCTAAAAAAGGACAAACAGTAATCATTGATTGTTTTGAAGGATTCAAACTTTTCACAAAGCAGGTGTCATATATGCTAAACTTTTTGCTACCACATGAATGTGCTAATTTCAGCAGATGCGGAACTCCAATGAGAAAACATTTCACCATGAATGTGCTAATTTCAGCAGATGAGGAACTCCAATGAGAAAACTTAACTTCTTATCTGATGAAGAAATGAGCAGGGCTGAAAAATGTTCTGCAGCGCCGGCAGGAAATGCCAGGAAATGTTTGGCACAAATTCATTGCAGGAAATTGTTGCTGTTTGCCAGGAAATTTTTAGAATGAAATCTCCATTGCTTGATTTTAATATGAACATCTAATTTATGTTACTCTCTTTCTACGGAACGCTGTTTTCTTCAAACATCAACATCAATGTCTATGAAACATCACTACTTCAAAAGTATCTAGTTTGCTATTACTGATATGAAATTAAATCATCAAGTTATTTTTGATTTTCAGATCTATTAACTTTAACCTTGAAAACAAACTATGAGTATGCTCAATCACGCTCTCCTTGACCATCTAATGCAGTAGAAACAAAGATTGCTGTTGAAAACAAATCAAGCAACAAATATCACTTAAGACTTTATTTCTAAAGTATGCAATAAATTGTAACTTTTCCATTCCTCAAGAATGTGACAATCTTTTATTCATTTTTTCATAAAGTTGATAGTTTTGGGTAGAAAATGTATTTCCTGGAGGTATCCCAAAATGTAAAATGTTTTAGCAGCCGACTAGGATTACAAGCATGAGCAAAGTATTTGGCAACATGTTTTGCTGAGGTCTGGAACTCTTTAGGATTGAAAACTTGAATCCATGCTCTTACACCAGGATACTTGGGAATCTAGTCTTTTGGAAAGAATATTTACTAAAATTTCCCAAAATTTACAGCATTCTTCTTCATTAGGTCAGGTAGACATTTACCTTTGAAAAAAACATTCCTTTTATTTGCACAGTTGCTCTGTCAGTAAACCAAACAGCCAGATAATGTGTATAAAACCAAACACTCTCATTAAAAAACAGACATTTTGTAAAAATTTTCAATGAGTTCATTATCACACCTGCCAAAACTGTATTTCTTTTAGCCATGCTTTCCAACATGTCTTTTTCATTTTAATGCAAGAAGCAAGCATACTCTCTTCCTTTTCATCAATGTCTTTTGGCCTTTCTTTCACACCAAGATGGAAAATTATGGAGAAGGCAATTCCAACTGACACAACAATAAACACCAAATTCTAGAAACAAAAAAGCGTGCTTCAGAAGTAATCATCATTATGACTACATTCAAGATATATAGCCGAATTGTTAACCTGAACTTTCATCTACGCAGTTTAAACTGAAAACAATTATGCTCTCAGTTAATGCTGATGCAAATTTCATTTCTGTTTACAAAAATGGCACCAGATATTTTTAAGGATTTCTAAACCAATAATGTCATGAAAACTTTTCACCCTGAAAAGACCTCTCTATGAAGTCATCCATTCTGCTAGCAGCAGATACTTATTTTACTGAGGATGTTGAAATTTTGATACCATCTGTTAAAATGTGTGACCACAAGTTTACTGATATGATATGCATTTTATCTCAAAGAAAGACATAACTGCCTGATGGTTACCCAAATATATTTGACAATATGTTGGTAAAGATCTCTTTGAGTCTGCTACCATCACAACAAGTCTGTCAAATAATTAAATTCTTTAATTAAGCAAGTCAATCCTTTAATTAAAAAAAATATATAGATACCTACCCTGAACTTTGGTGCATCTTGACGGCCAAGTGTACCAGGTGTACTATTAATTTCAAATAAAACCCAAAATACCGCATAAACAAATATGTTTGAAAAGATGGTACATCCATACCTGGAAATAATGAAAAGCTAGAATTATAAAATGGTATTCCTCTTTTGTCATTTTCCTCTAAATAATTTGGCTGAATATGTTTTAGCACAGCACTTCTAAGCTACATAAAATCCATTTTGAGTATCAATTTTCAAAGCATATTTTGATACAATATTTTAATATTAGCATTCTCAATGAGGGTGTATCCATATCTTCCAAGGTTGTCTTTTCAGCTTAGTTAATCAAAAACTCTCACAGCTTTGCCTTACTACCTAAATGATCCTAAATCCAAAGCTAGACTTTTATGATACAAACATATTTTTTCTTAAAACATACTTTGCATTCTCAAAACTCATTTAACCAACATTTTGGTGCTTGGTTAACTTAAAAAAATTGATAAGGCATATAAACTTAATAATTGATATGCATATAGATATGACTCAGAGTGCAGAATGTTTTTGGGCACATGGAATTATTTTCTGTGCGCAGGATTTCATTTTTAAGCCTTGCAATAAGTCTATGCATGGAATTCACACGAAAGCTTGTGTTCAACTGCACAGATTAATCTAATTTGCAAAAATGCACAGACGGGATTTGAGCAAAAAATTTAGCAAAGAACATATTCCCCGCGCATACCCAAAATTTGCAGTCTGGGATATGACTGCCTTTGCCAGTGTGAAGATCTTCAGGGTTGGTTTCAGCATTAAATCACTTATTTTGTAGAGCTGTTTGGCCCAGAGGAATGATGGTTGCTGTTAATGCGGCAAACTAGTGTTTGATTCCAACAAAGTGCAGTATTTACCAGTGGTGTCGCATGACTCTCCAGACTAGGGGGTGGAGGGTCATCTTTAGAAAATTTACCAACCAAGACATAGATGGAGAAGAATTTAGGTGCTGTTTCACCTACGGATAGATGATTATACCGACAAATTAAGGATTTTGTAGACAAACTGAAGATTTACATACGAAGTCATGAAGTATTAGGGAGTATTACAACCCCCTACACCCCCAGCTAGCTACGCCCCTGGTATTTACAAGCAGGCAGATTGCTTGTGGAAAAAATTTCCTCCTGTTAGCCTATGCCTGAAATGAAACAACAGTCCTGGTGATGGTGAAGATCACCAGTGGTAGATTCAAAAGCCATTATTAATTCCATAATTATATTTATGTTTATAACTATCCATTTCAACTCAATTAATTGAATCACTTGGTTCAGTGCATCGAGTTCTACCTTTGAGAGGATTTTGACATCCAAGTAGCCATAATTTGGAATTGGGGATGCAACTTTGAGGGTATAATATTCTCCTGTCACTCAAGACTTGGCCTTAAAAACATTTACAAAGATCATGAATGCCTGGAGAAACCTTCCAATTTTCAGAAATTCTTTATTTGCAAGGTTAAGCAATGAAATGCCATAGCAGCTGGGCTGAAAAAGGTAAATTCTTCCTAACTTTCAACTTCCAGAATGTTGTCTTTATTGCATTTAATACTCTTTATATTGTTAACCAAAATATTTAATATTACAGGCACATTTGTATCTAGTAAATTAGGCTTTCAGGCATACTTTGTTTAGTATCAAATGGTGGGCCTTTGCTTAAAGGCTACCCTTTTTCAGAAATTGAAAAATACAATCTGAAACAGTCTATACACACATAGCTGTCACTATTCAAGACTATTGCACTGACTAGAAATCGTTTTACCTGAGTGAATTCAACAATACTTTCTCATCTGTTCTACGGGCTAGGTCTGGTATGAGGGCTAGATGAGATATCTGCGTTGATGCCCAGCCAAACTGGAAAATTACTATGAACGGGATATAATAGAAAAATAAACTCCATCTTGGACTGTTCTGGCATCCATATATACACAGATTGAAGATGAATGGAAATGCTGCAGCAACAGCTATGGTTCCGCCTAGATGCCAAATTTTTCGTTTACCGTATCTTGCACTTGAAGTTCGGTCTGATTCAATCCCTATAATTGGCGTAGCAATTCCATCTGCGATCTGTCCAACCAAGAGAAACAACCCAGCGTCAAAATTGTTAAAAATGACAACTTTGTGGAAGTAGATGAGCAAATACGAGAACCACATTGATGCACATAGATCGTTGAATACATGGCCTACTCCATAACTCAAAGATGTAGCATGATTCAAGCGTCTTCGTACATCCATCGTTTCTTTTTCTACTCTTACTTGATCAAGGTTTAACAGCAAGAATATTGACAGCTCAACAATAACACAGCTTGGCCTGACAAAAGCAGATGTGATAACGTCTCATTTGTGATAGGACGAATCGTAATTTTCTCCTCGATAGGCTTCAGTCTGACATCTTTTCCTGGCTGCATGCAAGATCTGCTGCGGCCAAAGGTTTGCTTCGTGTTCTTACACACGATCGTCACGGGTTCCGGCAGCCATTATGCAAGTTCTGCTAAACTACTCAAATTCATATTATGTCTCGCGAATTATTTGTAATTCACCTCTATTTCACAAAGAAACCGCGTATAAACCGCGCTAGCACGGGACCCCACGTAGTCACGTACTGATCACATGAGAAGCTTTTTAGGATGTTGTAAACAAATAATTTTTTACACCATTCTGCCAGCCCTCCAAAAAAGATGTGCCTCTTATTTTTAGCAGTTTTTTCAGCTACCGGTAGCAAGGCTTTTCAATCTGGAAATCGGCCATTCAGGAAATCTTTGAGCAGTGCTTTTAAAAAGAATTTTAATCAGTCGGCAGAAAAAAATACAGCCATTTCTAATAGAGACGTTTTTAAAGAATTTGTTCAAAAGTTAATGGCACCTGGATAAGGTAGGCAGGTAGATATGAAACCTTCGTCAAACGCACGGATTATCCAGCAAATCAATGCTGAAACACACAAATGCATTATCTAGCATTTTTAAGCATTGCGTCACTAACAATTTTGGCGTGATACGACAGAGAGACAGAAGAATACACCTGAGTTCATCAGTCGAGTCTCATTTATAATTATAATGGTAATTAATTGGTAATCAAATACCATAATAAAAATCATAATCGTTACACTCTGATCGGCCTTGGCTAGAATAAAAAATTCCAAGAGTGTGATCACTAATATCACACTAACAAAATTGTCAGACTCTGGCCTGAAATTCCCTTATAGGTCCGTAGGCTTATCTTGAATATCGGGGGAAGATCAAAAGTTGTTGTTTAATGCCACGCCCATTTTTTCCAAGAAACGCCGTTTATATCTCGACATCGCTTGTCTCTATGTCAGTTTTGTTTTCTCTTAATTTGCTTTTTGAATATATACTTTATGCATGAAGACGTTTTTCAATGCACATTTTTTTTATAAGAACCAGTAAATTTAAGTTCAGGCTGACTGTTCTTAATTTTTTCGAAAATCTGAGGCTGGATTGTTCTTAATTTGTTCTTAAATTAGGAGGGTGTAAGCAGTGCTATTGCTAGCTTTTTCACTCTAAGGAGGTGTTCAGGCCTCATTTGCAAACAAAGTGAGTGAGACAGCCTTAATTTGCTGACAAATTTGAATATTCACCGAAAAAGCACCCACACATCGCTAAAAATCCTCGATTTTGAGAAAAAACGTTGTTCAAAATTGCATTTTGCAGAAGCTCAGTCTCAGCTTGTTCTTAATTTGTTCTTAACTTTTGACCAGTTTTGAGGCGCATGTTCTTATAAAATTGTTCTTATAAAAAGAGAGTGTACATGCAGTAAAGGGCGTTACAGTATTCTCTCCAATTAGCGACACCTTCGAGGCAAGAGCAAGTCCAAGAAAGATATTGCAGACAAAGAGTCAGTTTTGGAAATTGTTAATTTGATGCTGGAGAGCAGAGTGAGTTCATCCTTTCCAGAAGTGTACAAATCACTAACTCTGTTTGTAACAATTCCAGTTACGGTTGCCACAGCTGAGAGATCATTTTCGAAACTTATATTGATTAAAATGTACTTAAGGTCAAAGATATCTCAAGAAAGACTAGATAACTTGGCAATACTGTCCATAGAAAATTCGGAAGCCAAATCAATTGATAAGACTGAACTCATTGAGCGATTGGCACATGTCAATGCTCGAGGGCATAAAAGAATTGGCATATAGAACTTGAAAGTTCTTTTTTCTGATAACATTTCAAATAAAATCAAATTCATGACGTTTTTTAAGCAATTGTGAACAAACTTTTGCATAATTTAACGGAAATTGCATTGATTACGTTTCTTCATCTAGGTCGTATAATATTCTTTATTATTCATAAAGACTACATAAGGACAGAAAGTTCAAAGTTATGTTGGAATTTGTTGCAGAAAAGTAGTCAAGTTATTCAAATTTTGACTGTACCTATCAAAGTCTAATGCCCATTCACTTTTGCGAGTTAAACCAATATAGTCAGATTACTGAGTGGGGCCTTCTAATTGGTCTATCCAACAAATCGTACGCGTTTGATTCGTTGAAATAAAACCTGGTATAAATGTAGCTTGTTTAGCTGTGCCAGTGTGAAGACAGTATAAACGAACATTTATTATTCACACCAGCACAGATTTCTTTAATATTTTGATAAAGTTTCACATTCAAAATATTATGGAAGGAGTGGAAGTGTTAGAGAGCATAGAAATATATTTGGCGGCAGAATCTTTCTTCGTATATTGTTCTATGTTATCTATACGGGGTTTTCGGGAAAACCCCAAAGAGTGAGTGATTAGGCTCTAAAATTTGACTCAACCTTAGTTAAGTATGGGGGCCCCAAAACACGATTTTCACTAAGGGCCCACACTGATCCATTACGCCACTGCACCACGTCACTGCTTTACACTTTATTAGTTGGCATATTAATAGCTAGGGTTTTCCCATATGACTGAAAGCTGGCCCCCGGCTAGCCCCCCCCCCAGATTTTTAAGGCTGGATTTGCCACTGTTAACTAACCCACTTTATTCTATCTAAACTAATCCAGGTTTGACCTAGGGCGAACTCACCTCCCGAGGTGGGTTGACTTTACCTGGGACGAGCCCAGGTTAGTTTGTGCAGTGAAGGGGTGGGCAACCTACGGCCTGCGGGCCAGAATCCAGCCCGTGAAGAGAACTTTTGCGGTCATCGAGTTGATGAAATCATATTATAATCTTTTTGGTTGCAAGGATGATATTCTGGGTGTTCGCAAAAAATTTATGAAACATATCAATTTAAAATGAGATTATCTTTGTCAAAGCTGAGAATAGTGCAGAGGTTTTTTTCGTTATCTGTTGTTATGTGTTCTTTGAGATCCTATAGCTATCATATTTGGAATCACAGACGATAGGAATCACATTTGTCATTATATTGTCAATTGTCTCAACTGCCAGTGCGCCGTTGGATAAATTGGTGTTTAAGAATATTAAAGTGAATGGCTGGAGCTTTAAGGCTAAATGTTGATTGGTGGATAGTTCTGTATTTACTCCCTGTGATGTTTTCTCCACACCCTGAATTACATCATTTTTCATTTTGATGTTTTTTCAGTTTTCCCTTTGTCTTTACGACTGTAATAGTCTTGTGAACCGAGGCTAGCCAGTCGCAAAGTACCTATGTAACATAGAGGTATGGCTTGGCTGAGTGTTTTCTCTCTTTCTCTTCCTATTTTGCTTCAATTGTCAATTCTTCCTATCTATAATTATTATTACTATTATTATTATTATTATTATAATTCGATCAGCAACAAAAACAGTATCTCATTTCTAAACTTTCCAACATTGCCATCCGTACTACGTACTACATATTTTGTTGCAAAAATAAGCCATGGACAAATCCGGAATTACATCCTTTTTAACTTTAGTTGTTTTATTTTATTTTATTTTTCTCAGTTTTTCCTTTTACCTTACGATTGTTATAGTTTTTTCTTGTAAAACCAGGCTAGCCAATTGCAAATTACCTTGTAATAGTGAGATTTGTAATTGTAGTTTTAATTGAATTGAAAATGAAAAGTTTCCATTATTATTATTGTCAATTTCTTGTGATTTGCTATTTTTAGATCAAACACCGAGTCACTACTAGTGACCTAGGGTGAGTGAAATTGGAGTAATTTAAGAGTAAAAATTGTGTGTATAAAAATAAAGTCATTATCATAAAAAAGTATATCTTCAAAAGGATTGTTCAAAAAGAAAGCGTTCTTCTCAGTATGTGTGCAGTGCTGTTCAGGACTATTTTTTGGACCTCGTTAAGGGGTGGATCACCTGGATATTTGCTTTAAATAATTAGCAGTTCCTTTCTTTATCAGTCCTAGGGCACCTACTACTACTGGAATGGTCTTTGTTTTGAGGTGCCACATCTTTCCAATTTCAATCTCCAGGTCTTTATATTTGGAGAGTTTTTCAAACACTTTTGCAGAAACATTCTTATCTGACGGCACACTCATATCTATGAGTAGTCAGGTGTTTTTGGTCTTATCTTGGACAATAATGTCTGGACGGTTTGCCTGTATAGTGCGGTCAGTTTGGACTGAAAAGTCCCAGAGAATGGTGACATTTTTCCCTTCAGTAACTGGTTTTGGACGGTGCTCGTACCAGTTACTCTTGGTTTCTAAGGAGAAGTGTTTCAGAATTTTCCAGTGGAGGTATTTACCAATCCTATCGTGGCGATTTTTGTATTCATTTTGTGTCAGTACAGAACAACCTGAGACAAGGTGGTCAATCGTTTCTACCTTTTCCTCACAGAATCTACATTTTTCATTTGCTCCATTGCGCAACACATTGGCTTGATAATTCGTTAAGTCCAACACAAAATTCGTCCAGCACAAAAAGTGCTTGAATATCGATTGTTTTGGTGAACCGGCTTTAGAAAAAAAAGCTCAAAATGACACCCGGCTTTAGAATTTCTGGAAAAAAGAACAAAGGACAACAAAAGCTTTGGTGCCAGTTGCCATGGTTGTCAGAACACCACAAAAACAATGGGCGGGCAGCCTCTTTGCTGTTATTTTTGAATAGAAAAAAAACGAAAATCAGGCAACCGGCTTTAGATTATATCCTTTGAACAGATACCCGGCCTTAGAATAAATTGCTGAAAATGATACCCGGAAAGACGGTGCACATCCTGTCAGCAAAATATTCTAAGTACCTCGGCCCTTGACTTTGATCATCCAAATTAAGTGGGAGTCCGAGTTTAAATATGACAATTTTTAAAACAATAGGGAAAGGACACCACGATGTCACAACTAAAATCATGCAAAACAGAAAAGGAGATGCATGACCTGTATACAGATTTCGTTCTCTCTACAATACTATGTATACAGAGGTATCATGCCCCCCCCCCCCCGCCTATTTCCGTTCTCAAGTCAACTCACTCACACACCTATTGTGTACAGGAATGTCACTGTATTATTTCTAACATATTAGTTGAAGAACTAGCGGTATTGATTGATTTAAACTGAGATTTGGAATGACGTTGATTTACCTACAAGGCGTTCTTTAAAAGTTGATAACTTATTTTCCGTCAGCAAGCTGGGAGTAACGACAGATATCTGGAATCTGGAAACGATAAAGTGC